CTGGGCGCTGTCCCTCAGCTCTTCAGCTCAAGGCTAGCGCTCTACCACTTGAGCCACAGCGCCACTTCCAGCTTTTTTCTTTTAGCTTATGTGATGCTGAGGAATTGAACCCAGGGCCTCAGGCATGCAAGGCAAGCGCTCTACCACTGAGCCACCTTCCCAACCCCGAAGTCCTTTCTTTAATTTGTTATAAATTTACCTCTTCAAGCTTTAAGTTCTGTCTCCTGTTACAAATGAAATGTACTGAAGCCAGGCATGGCGGCTTACCACTAGCTGCTGGGAAATGGATAGCATGGACTAAAGTCTGAGGCTAGCCCTGGTGTAAGAGTTCATGAGACTCCATTTCAACCGGTGGCTGGAGACAGTGGTACACTCCCATCCCATCGCAACACGAGGAGGCACAAAACTGGAAGCCGCAGTCCAGGCTAGCCCTGGCCTCAAAAACAACTAACAGCCAGGCATGGTGGCTCATGCCACCGGTAATCTTAGCTACTCAGGAGGCTGAGATCTAAGCATCAAGGTCCAAAGCCAGCCCTGGCAGGAAAGCTTGTAAGACTCTTATCTCCAATTAAGCTCCTCCCCCCCAAAAAAAAGACAGAAATAGAGCTGTGACCCAACTGGTAGGACATTAGCCTTGCACAAAAAAGCTCAGGGACAGTGCCCAGGCCCTGAGTTCAAGCCCAAGGACCAGCACAAAAAACAGGATGATGGACAGAGTGGTTCAAGTGACAGAGTGCCTGCCACATAAGAACAGGACCCTGAGAAAAAAAGAAAAGAGAAAGTAGGATAAGTAAGCAAGCCAACCATTCCTGTCGGGACTGTAAGAAAAGAAAAAGAGCAGAGTGGTGAACTCAGCAGTCCAACAGGTTTTATTCAGAAGGAAAGCCTGGGAAGGGCTAGCTGGCCTCAGCCAGGCTGAACAGGAAAGGTTCCCTCCCTCCTAAACATTACGTGAAAAAGGTGAAGTCAGGCAGGTGGCGGGGAGCAGGGTGAGCTGGAGGCAAGGTGGTTGTGACTGAGGCGTTCCAAGGGTTCAACAGCATCCGTGTCCATCAGAAGCGTTAGCACCAGATGTGGCCTTGGTCTCAGGTTCTCTTCAAGAATGCAGGGTCTAGATGGATTCACTGCAGAATTCTATAAGACCTTAAAAGAAGAACTAATACTCCTCAAGCTCTTCAGAGAAACAGAGGAGGGAGCTATCCCAAATTCATTCTATGAAGCCAATCTCACACTCATCCCCAAACAAGGCAAAGACCCAACCAAAAAGGAGAATTACAGGCCAATTTCCTTGATGAACACAGATGCAAAGATCCTTAACAAGATTCTAGCTAACAGAATCCAGAAACACATAAAAAAATCATACACTATGACCAGGTAGGCTTCATCCCAGAGATGCAGGGATGGTTTAACATATGTAAGTCAATAAATGTAATCCAACACATCAACAGAGCCAAGGTCAAGAATCACATGATTATCTCCACAGATGCAGAAAAGGCCTTTCATAAAATTCAACATTCATTCATGCTAAAAGCTCTGGAGAAAATAGGAATAGAAGGAACATTTCTAAAAACAATGAAAGCCATTTATGACAGACCAATAGCCAATATTATACTTAATGGGGAAAAGCTACAACCAATTCTTCTAAAATCAGGAACAAGGCAAGGATGCCCACTGTCTCCACTCCTCTTCAATATAGTCCTGGAACCCTTATCCAGGGCAATAAGGCAAGAAAAAGACATTAAAGGGATCCACATAGGCAAAGAAGAAGTTAAACTATCCCTTTTTGCAGATGACATGATATTATACCTTCACGATCCCAAAAACTCCATCCCCAAACTCTCTTAGAAATCATAAATCACTTCGGCAAAGTAGCAGGATGCAAAATCAACCCACAAAAATCAGTTGCCTTCCTGTACACTGACAATGTACAAGCAGAGAGGGAAATAAAGGGAGCAACCCCATTCACAATAACCTCCCAAAAAATAAAATATTTAGGAATTAACCTAACCAAAGATGTAAAAGAACTAATGAAAACTATAAAAAGTTAAAGAAATTGCAGAAGACACTAGGAGATGGAAAGACCTCCCATGCTCTTGGATAGGCAGATTTAATATAGTGAAAATGTTAATACTGCCAAAATTAATATACAAATTCAATGCAATTCCTATTAAAATCCCAATGATGTACATCACTGAAATACAGAAAACAGTCTAAAAATTCATATGGAACAACAAAAGCCCTAGAATAGCCAAAACAATTCTAGGGAATAAAGACAACATGGGAGGGATATCCATGCCGAACTTCAAACTCTACTATAGAGCTATAATAACAAAGACAGCATGGTACTGGCACAAAAACAGACCCGAAGACCAATGGAATAGAAGATCCAGAAATAAATCCACAGGCCTACAGCCAGCTGATATTTGACAAAGGAGCCACAGACATACAATGGAAGAAACACAGCCTCTTCAACTACTGGTGCTGGGAAAACTGGTCGGCCACATGCAGAAAACTAAACGTGGACCCCAGCCTATCACCATGCACCAACATCAACTCAAAATGGATTAAAGACCTTAACATTAAACCTGAATCTCTGAAACTACTGCAGGACAGAGTAGGAGAGACACTTGAACTTATAGGCACAGGAAGGAACTTCCTGAACAGAGTCCCAGGGTCACAACAAGGGAGAGAGACTCGACAAATGGGACTACCTTAAAATAAAAAGCTTCTGCACAGCTAAATCTATCGCAACTAAGCTAGAAAGACAACCAACTAATTGGGAAAAAATATTTACCAGCAATATATCAGACAAGGGGTTAACATCCAGTATATACAGGGAACTCAAGCAACTAATCCCTCCCAAACCTAAAAAACCAATTACTAAATGGGCAAGGGAACTAAAGAGGGACTTCTCAGATGAAGAAATAAAAATGGCAAAGAAACACATGAGGAAATGTTCACCATCCCTGGTGGTGAAGGAAATGCAAATTAAGACAACCCTGAGATACCACCTTACCCTAGTTAGAATGTCCCACATCCACAAGTCAGCCAAAGACAAATGCTGGAGGGGATGTGGAGAAAGAGGAACCCTATTACACTGCTGGTGGGAATGTACACTTATACAACCACTTTGAAAAGCAGTCTGAAGGATCCTTAGAAAGCTAAAGATTGACCTCCCTTACGACCCAGTCATACCACTTCTAGATAGCTATCCTGAACAACAGGAACCAGTATACAAGGACACTACACCTCATGTTTATTGCAGCACTGTTCACAATAGCCAGGATATGGAAACAACCCAGATGCCCCACCACAGATGAATGGATCCAAAAATTGTGGTATCTATACACAATGGAATCTTATACAGCCATTAGAAATGACAAAATAATGGCATTTGCAGGGAAATGGATGGAGCTAGAAGAAATCATGTTGAGTGAGGTAAGCCAAGAGCAAAGAGACAAATGGTACATGGTCTCCCTGATAAGTGGATGTTAAATCCAAAATGTTAGGTGATACGACAAAATTAACAGGACTTAAAAACAAAGAACTCCCACTCATCTGGTTGAACCACTACTACATAACCCCATGCTGCTGATCACGTGTATGGTGTATTGTGTACACCGTTATATGTTATAGACTGTGATAGATTTTGCTCCAGGAAAGTTAGAATGAGCTTGTGACTTTAATTGGGCTTATTATTCCACAATACTGTGAAATTTGGGAAATTATGTAATCACTTAATTTAAAAAAAAAAAAACACCAGAAAACTAGAAGTGGCGTTATGGCTCAAGTGGTAGAGCATGAACCTTGAGCTGAATTGTTCAGGGACAGCTCCCAGGCCTAGAGCCCTACGACTGACAAAAAAAAAAAAAAAAGATTTCTTTCTAACATATTCATAAGATTATGTCTTTGTTGCCTTGTATGTCCTTCCCCCATGGTATAACCCCTGCTTTCACTATATACGATGTTGGTATATGTGGAGGGGAAGGGAAAAAACAAATTGTTAAAACAGGGATGCAGGCGGACCCATTGCAACAATGAGATGTACAAGTGGTTATGTCGAAAAACGAACTTTACAACCTTGGTGCGGGTGGGGGGGCGAGGATACGAAGGGATGGGAAGGGGAAACAAAGCAGGAGGCTACAATGCTTGATAAGAAATGTGCTCGTTATCCTACCCATGTAATTGGAACCCCTCTGTACAGCATTTTCACAATAAAAATAAATAAAAAGAATGCAGGGTCTGGCTGTTTAGGGCCAGGGGAGGAGAGGTGACTGAGCAGGGTCACAGCAAGGACACTTCTAAGCTGTGGCTGGCAGAGGAAGGTGAGTGCTTTCAGTTTAAGTCATTTTCCATGAGTTTATCTTTTTTAAATAATTTTAATTGAGATTATTTACATAAATTTCATAGGATTGGGGGATAGTGATACTTAGTTAAAGTCACACACTTATGGCTGATTTTAGAAATTCATGGCATTAACTCAGATTAAAAGAGTTATAGCCAAGTACCAATGGCTCACACCTAAAATCCTAACTACTCAGGAAGCTAAGATTAGAGGGTATGCTTCAAAGCCAGCCCTAGCAGGAAAGACTGTAAGACTCTTATCGCCAATAAACTACAAAAGGAGTGGCACTGTGGTTCAAGAGGTAGAGTGTAGCCTTGTGCAAAAGAAGCTCGGGGACAGCGCCCAGGCCCTGAGTTTGTGTACCAGGACTGGCGCAAAGACCAAAACCAAGAATGGAGGGTTATAGGTCCTCAATGGGACCCTGTCATTCACGGTGTTTGCAGCAGGGTGGGTGCTGAGCTATGCTTTGATGGCCACTTTGCAGGCTTGGGATGGAAGCCAGGGCTCTGCACACATGGGCAAGGGCAGCTCCGGGCTGCATCTCCAGCAATTCCTGCTGTTCTCCCGGGGAGGAAGCCAGATGGCTCAAAGAACTGGAGCTGCCTCCTGACAGTGTAGCGCACTCCCAAACACAAACGGTGTGTTAGCTAAAACAAATCCAATACATTGTGGTATTTTTTCAGAAAATAAAAGCCAATTTTGTGTTTTTTAACAGAATTCCCTGGTATTAACCAAGGTGCTGTCTACCTTGGGACAGAAGCCTATAATACATACACTTTTGAAGAGAAGAACATACTCCCCTGATGACAGCATGAATGAGGGGTATGTATTCTGTGTGTTGGGGAGGGAGGGGGAGAGTGGGGGTGCACATGTATGCACACCCGTGTGCACATGGCAGTCCTAGGGCTTGAACTCAGAGCCTGGTTGTTGTCCCTGAGCTTTTGTGCTTAAAGCTAGCAGTCTACCATTTGAGCCACAGCCCCACTTCCAGCTTTTTTTTGGTAGTTACTTTGAGATAAGAGATTCATGGACTTTTCTACTCCAGGCTGGTTTTGAACCACAGTCCCCAAATCCAACCTGAGTAGCTAAGATTAGAGGCATGAGCCACAGGTCCTTTTTTTCTTCTTCTTATTTCAAATATTTTTAGAAATCAAGGACCTTAAGAATTTTTTTCAAACCCTACTAGGATTTTGTGGAGTATCACTTACATGTCATTTCCAAGAGATTTGTTTTCTTATAACAAAACAATTATGAGAATGACTCCCTGTTTCTCCAGCCCATGGCACTTCTAATCTCCTGTCGGCGGCTCTGCCCAGTTTGGAGATGTGGCCCTGTACACATCACGTTAGAGTTGCCACGTGGGTGCCTCACTCTTTTTCTGTCCGGTGTGTGGCTATGTCGCATCTGGCGTAACCATGCTGCCATCAGTTACAACCCCTCTGGGTCTGGGTCTCCAGCCGCTGCGTGTTCCTTGCTCTTGGGGATGTGCCCAGGACGGAGCTTGCCAGCTATCCTCATGTGTTAACGCCTTGAGGAGCTGCCGTGCTGTTCCGCGCCGCCACACACCATGTTACATTCCTATGGGTAGTATGCCAGGGGTCCCATGTCTCCTCCACACTCTCTCCAACACTTGTTATAATTTCATTTTTAAATGATCTAACTACCAGAGAGGGTGTAAAGCACTCTATTCCAGGTTCTTCTGGATTTTTCTCATCACTAATGACGCTCAGCATATTTTCATATGTTTATTTTCTACTTAAATATCTTCTTTTCAGATCTTTTGGCATTTTTTGGCAGGGGGTCTGGTCATGGGGCCTGAACTCTGGGCCTGGGCACTGTCCCTCAGCTCTTCAGCTCAAGGCGAGTGCTCTACCACTTGAGCCACAGCGCCACTTCTGCTTTTTTTTTTTTCTGCTTATGTGGTGTTGAGGAATCTAACCCAGAGCCTTATGCATGCACTCTACCACTGAGCCACCTTCTCAGCCTCCATTTTGTCTTTATTTTTGAGTGTGTGTGTGTGTGCATGCGCACACATGCGTGCATTTCATGTGTGCATGCACACCAGTCCTGGGCCTTAGGGCTTGGGCACTGTCCCTGAGCTGTTTTCACTCAAGGCTGGAACTCTACACTTGAGCCACAGCTCTGCTTTTTGGTGTTTAATAGGAAATAAAAGTCTCATGGGTTGTCCTGCCTGGACTGGCTTTGAACCACAATCCTCAGATCTCAGCTTCCTGAGTAGCTAGGATGACAGACATGAGCCACTGGTGCCTAGTATAATTTCTTTTATTTATTAATCCTAATCACTTTGGTAGATTCTTTAGGATTTTTTTTTTTTTTTTTTGCCAGTCATGGGGCCTGAACTCAGGGTCTGGGCGCTGGCCCTCAGCTCTTCAGCTCAAGGCTAGTGCTCTACTACTGGAGATATAGCGCCACTTCCGGCCTTTTCTGTTTATGTGGTGCTGAGGAATCAAACCCAAGGCCTCATGCTTGCAAGGCATGCGCTCTACCACTGAGCCACCTTCCCAGCCCCTCTTTAGGATTTTCTATGTACAAGATCATGTTACTTGTAAATATAATTTTGCTTCTTCCTTTCCAATCTGGAGGTTATTTATTTCTCAGTACCTTTTCATGATAAAATAAATAAAAAATTAGGTATACAGAGACATCACCTCAACACAATGAAGAGCGTGTGTGACAAACCTACAGCCAACTCATGCTCACTGGGAATTGAAGGTTTTTCTTCAAGATCAGGAACAAGACAAGGATGTCCACTCTCAACACCTCTTCTCAACAGTACTAGAAACCCAAGCCAGAGAAATAACAGGCATCCTCAAAGGGAAAAGACATGAACTTGTCTCTGTTTGCTGATGACAAGATCTCACACTCAGAAAAACAAAACCAACCAACCAAATCCTTAAGCTCTACCAAAAAGTACTAGAACTCATGAACAAATTCAGTGAAGTTTCACATACAAAACCAACATTGGAAAATATATAATGCTTTCGTATTATCTAAAAATGACAATGAAGTGTAGTCCATTACCCAATAACAATAATGTACCGTAGGCCCATCTGCCACAAGGCCCCTTCCCTGTCCGGCCGCAGAGGATCAGCTCCTGGCTGTCATAGCTCACTTCTCAGAGATCCTGATCAGCTTGTGCTTCTCCAGTATATCACTCAGATAAACCCGCATTTTCTCAGTGGCTTGCTGCTCACTGTACCCAGTATGCAAGAAGTAGTAGCATCTCTCTTGCTATTGGCAAGGCATTGGAGTGTGAGTGACAACGCGGGCCATCCACCCCAGCGAAATTCCCAGGGGCCCAGTTGTGGAGTGAGCTGAATGAAAGGTTTGATTGTTCCATCTGGCCCCTTCCAGAAGCATGATGCCCAGTGAACCTCTGTGATTTTGGAGGCACCCTTTGGGTGTATTACTCCAGACCTTTTACTGATTGCCCCAAAGAGCTGCTAGTTTTGAAGGGGCCCAGGACAAGCAAAGGCTCTGTAGGGGTCCTTGGCCCCTGTGCTGGCTGCTCTACTCCACAGGCGGTACAGCCCCACAGATCTGTCAGTGGCAGACTGGGGTGCTGCTTTGAGCCCTCAGCAGGCCCTGAGTTACAGCAGCCTGAAGGTACGGATGGTGAAGGACTTCAGAGGGAACCAGAAAACTGGTGACAAATTTGGAGACGAGGTATCTGGGCAAACTTCATATGGACAAAAACATCGTTGGGTCATTCGTGTCTCCCGTGAATTCCCACCAAGGGCAGTGGAAAGGATGACCCCCTCGGGGGCTGCCAGTCACTGCGGCTGCTGCACGATGGGCTTCCGAATGAAGTGGCCGAGGGCACGGCGGCGGCGGTGGAGGTCAGGCGCAGGCCCTGCCGCAGGGCCTCGCATTCACCAAGGGCATGCTGGCCACGGCCCCTGCCCAGGCCCATCCGCCAGCAGCAGGAGCCAACTCGGAGCTCTGTTCATAGGGTGACCAGCCAGAACCTAGTGGCTAGGGGGTGATTAAACATTGGACCTTTCACGATGGAAAGGGAAGTGTTTGTGCCCTTCCTGCTGTATGGTTTGGCCTCCATGCCCAAAACGCTCTCTCCACAGTTAGAATCTGTAGACTTTCCGAGCACCTCTCCTCCATCCTGGAGGGTCACATGCTGCTCGTCTTGTTCTTACTTTACTTCCCTCCTGTGTCCCTCAGGACCTGGACAGTGCGGATACCCATGGCCAGCGACGATGTGCTGAAGGAGATCAAGGGGAACCAGGTGGCTTTCCAAGATTGCTTTATCGCGCACCTGCCTTTCCTGCTGACGGTGCCCATGCCCACCATCCCCGAGGCTCCTGGCTCTCTCCCACTCATGTCTCCCAGTGGGACACCACTAATAACTGTCTGGAACGCGTGCGCCCCTTCGTTTGTGGTGGTGGTCACCAACATGGAGACCTTTCAAACCAATGATTCCTTCCACACTTGGACCAGAGTGAGAGTGCCTCCCAATGCGCTGAGTGACTCGGAACGGCGCAGTGTGACCGACGTCATCCTACTGGACCAGGGGATGGTGTTTTTAATAAAGGGCTCGCTCTACCTGAGATCCTTGCAGGAATTTAAGAGGCTTCAGAGCAACAATGGCCTTCCTAAGGGTGGAATCCGTGGCATCGAAACCAGAAGATGGTGTGGGGGCATGTACACGTATAAGGTTAGTGGAAGATTTCCGTATGTCTACGTCCGCTGTAAACTCTAGGGGTGTTCACTGTATAGTCTACTCACTGTCACCTCAGAGATGAACAGCATTCTGCACTGTCATTTAACCTGAACCTCTGTCTTTCCCAACTCAACTTCTCAGAGGAAAGATGCATCCCCAACAAGAAACAAATTGATTTTGTTTGTTATTACTCAGTTGCTTAGTCATATATGGGTGTGGGGGGTGGGGTACTGAGGCTTGAACTGAAGATCCCACACTCTCCTTCAGCTTTTTCACTCCAGACTGAGACTCTGCCCCTCAACCCATGGCTCCAGAGACAGCATCTGCTTGGCAGTACTCCTGGGTGGCTTGGAGCCATGTGGATATTATTAGGGTTGAGCATACATTTACTATTCTGGTGTCTGTTTCCTATTAACCCCATTTATTCTCTGTTCCTTTGTTTCTCCTTTCTCACCTTATTCTGGATATATCTACTTTTTTTTGGGGGGGTCCAGTCATGGGGCCTGAACTCTGGGCCTGGGCGCTGTCCCTCAGCTCTTCAGCTCAAGGCTAGCGCTCTACCACTTGAGCCACAGCGCCACTTCCGGCTTTTTTCTTTTTTGCTTATGTGGTGCTGAGAAATCGAACCCAGGGCCTTGAGCATGCAAGGCAACCGCTCTACCGCTGAGCCACCTTCCCAGCCCTCATGTTTTCTTGTATCAAACACTCAGCCTGAGTTTGTGGCGGTGTGTAGAGGTGGATTTGTGTTGTTTTTGTTTACGGCAGGGTCTGCTCTTGAAGTCTGAGGCTAGGTAGATCCTTCTGCGTCAGCCTTCTGAGCTCTAGGAGGCCACAGCCTCGTGCTTCTGCATGGGACTTGCATTTGTCTATATAAAAGTGTTTATCGTCTCCACTTCAAAAGCTGTTTTCACTGAGTAAAGAACTACGGGATGTCCTATTATTGTTTTGGATTCTATTATTGTTTTGTTTCAAAAGCAGTTTATAAGCCAGATGGATTCTATTATTATTTTGTTTCAAAAGCATCTTATAAGCCAGGTGCCAGTGGCTCATGCCTATGAACTAGGTACTCAGGAGGCTGAGATCTGAGGATCACAGTTCAAAGCCAGCCCAAGCAAGAAAGTTCATGAGACTTATCTCCAATAAACTACTCAGAAAAAGCTGGAAGTGGCACTGTGGCTTAAGTGGCAGAGCATTAGCCTTGGGCACAAAGAGGCGCAGGGACAGTGCCCAGGCTGAATTCAAGCCCCAGGACCAAAAGAAAAACTAAAAGCAATTTATAAAGATATCAATCCATTCTCTTATGGCGTCTAATGCATTTGGCAAGGAGTTGGCCTTCATTTCTATAATTGGTCTGCAGTTCCACAATTGCCACAGTCGCTGTAAGATTTATTCTTTTTTTTTTTCTTTTTTTGGTCGGTTGTGGGGCTTGAATTCTGGGCCTGGGCGCTGTCCCTCAGCTCTTCAGCTCAAGGCGAACACTCTACCACTTGAGCTACAGCGCCACTTCTGGTTTTTCTGGTGGTTTTATTGGAGATAGGAGTCTCACGGTCTCTCCTGCCCTGGCTGGCTTTGAACCGTGATTCTCAGATCTCAGCCTCCTGAGTAGCTAGGATTACAGGCGTGAGCCACCAGTGCCCGGCTAAGATTTATTCTTATCTTTGGTTTGAACCTATTTTGTTCTGATTATCTCTGATTATCTGCTTGAGGGCCATTGGGGCTTCTTGGGTCTTGTCTGATAATAATTCCAGAAGGTTGTTGGCTATAACATCTTCAAATCTGTCTTATCCCCCATTTCCTGGACAGGATGCTTGATACTGAGCCAGAGCTCGAGCTCTCGGAGGAGTCCTTCATTATTTTTTCACTCTGGCTTTCTTTCTTTGTATTTTGGTTTGTATAAGTGCTGTGAACCTGTCTCAAAGTTCATTGCTTCTTCTTTTTTGTTGTTGTTGGTCTTAGGGCTTGAACTCAGAGCCTGGGCACTGTTCTCTGTCTCTGTTTTTTTGCTCAAGACTAGCACACTACCACTTTTAATTCACAGTGCCACTTCTGGTTTTCTGGTGGTTAATTAGAAATAAGAGTCTCATGGACTTTTCTGCCCAGACTGGCTTCAAACCTTGATCCACAGATCTCAGCCTTCTGAGTAGCTAGGATTACAGGCATGAGCAACTGGCACCCAGTAAGATTTTAAAAGGGAATTCAGATTTGTTATTCTGCTAATAGAAATAATATGTAGCCAGGCGCTGGTGGCTAACGCCTGTAATCCTAGCTACTCAGGAGGCTGAGATCTAAGGATCACAGTTCAAAGCCAGCCCAGGCAGGAAAGTCCATGACACTCTTATCTCCAATGAACCACCAGAAAATCAGGAGTGGCGCTGTGGCTCAAGTGGTAGAGCAATAGCCTTGAGCTGAAGAGCTGAGGGACAGCGCCCAGGCCCAGAGTTCAAGCCCCAAGACTGACAAAAAAGAAAAGGAAACAGAAACAGTATGTGAGAGAATAAAGTTGGCATAATAGTTTATTTTTTATGATTTTTATATGATGTGGTATATTTTTTTCCATTTTGATTCATTTATATCAGTTATGGAGGGAAGGTCATTGTTACATCTCCACACATTTACATTATATGCCAGTCACTCATCCTTTATAATGTGATGTATTTTTATTTAATACACTTAGAAATCTGAAATACCATTCTCAAACATACTACTACAGAATCTACCACTAGTGCAATTTGATTTAATAATGTATTTTCTTGGCACTATAGGGACCAGGGGCTTCATCGCCTGCTCACTCCAAACCACAGCCCGCCCCTGCCTTTTCTTTATAAATGGAGTACGCTAGACATCAGACATTGTTAGATGTTTCTCTAAACCTCATTTTTCTGTGTTTCTGTTTTTCTTACAGATAAAAAGAGGCCAAAGTGTCATATTGGCCTGGACAGAAAATGAAATTTACCTCCAATATTCCTCCTTAAAGTTTGTCAAATTAATAACCACGACGGAACTGAAACGTATTCTGGGTCTTCCATCAGATGACACCCTGACCGTGCTGCACCTGGAGTACACACTGCATCCCGAGGAGTTCGCTGTGCTAGCCCAGCACTGTGGCTCCTGCACCACCACCAAAAAGGTTTACATCATGGTCTATAACGAGTACTCAACACACTGGGTCTGCCAGGACTTCGCCCTCGAGATCCCCATGGATTCTTCACTCATCCCACATTTCTTGTACTCAGCCACGCCAGATATGATCCTGTGGGACAGACACAGAGTGTACTATTGTTACCAAAACTTCACTGTGACTGGAACTATACGCACAACTACCGGAGAGGAAAATCTGTCACTGTTATCCGGTGACAGCAATATTCATGACGTTTTTGTAGGTGAGATGCCAACATCCTTCCTGCTAAAAGCATTGTAGCTTTCATCGTAACTTCCCGGAGGTGTGGTCATCTCAGATGCTCCATTTGTGGGGCTTTTGATGGTTGGCGGCACGCCTCTCACCATCTAGCAGTGAATAGATCTGAAATTCAACTACTGTCAACTATGATCTCACAGAGCAGCCTGGTACATCCAAATTCTTCTTTCTAGCTTCCTACTGGTCAATGATGCTAAGGAAGCAATTTATATACATAGGCATTGCTGGGGCAGGGGGCCTGCTCTCCGAATCCTGGAGAGGACCCTTCGGGTGGCTGCTAGAAATCCATGCCTCCCCTGGAAATCCCTGCCTCCTCTGGTCTTTCAGCTCAACCTTGTCATCATATGGCTTCTCCATGTGAGTCTCTGTCTCCACATGGCCCAGTCAGACTGAGTGCAGGACCACTCCCAATCCAGGAAGAAAGACATTGTCTTAACAAAGTTCAATAATCCTATTTCTAAAAGTGTCCCAACTTGCTGGGCGCTGGTGGCTCACGCCTGTCATCCTAGCTACTCAGGAGGCTGAGATCTGAGGATCGCGGTTCAAAGCCAGCCCGGGCAGGAGAGACCGTGAGACTCCTATCTCCAATAAAACCACCAGAAGACCAGAAGTGGCGTTGTAGCTCAAGTGGTAGAGCACTCACCTTGAGCTAAAGAGCTGAAGGACAGCGCCCAGGCCCAGAGTTCAAGCCCCACGGCTGACAAAAAAAAAAAAAAAGTGTCCCAACTCTAAAGTGGTCCTGGTAGTCAGAACTTCAATGCGTCTTTTAAAAACTATACTTAAAAAGTGTTGTAGAGCCTGGCTCAGTGGCTCACACCTGTAATCCTAGCTACGCAGGAGACTGAGATCTGAGGATCACAGCAACTCTGGGCAAGAAAGTCCCTCTATGAGATTCTTTTTTTGTTTTTTTTGTTTTTTTTGGGGGGGTCCAGTTGTGGGGCCTGAACTCTGAGCCTGAGCGCTGTCCTTCAGCTCTTCAGCTCAAGGCTAGTGCTCTACCACTAGAGCCACAGCACCACTTCCAGCTTTTTGCTTATGTGGTGCTGAGGAATCGAACCCATGAGACTCTTATCTCCAGTTAATCACCCAAAAGCCAGAGTGGAGCTGTGACTCAAATGCTAGAATACTAGCCTATCAGAAAAGCTCAGGGATGTTGCCCAGGCCCTGAGTTCAAGTCCCTGGATGGGCAAAACAAAACAAAAACCATCATAGATTTTAGATATATTTGTCTTCAAATTCACAAATAAGCCACTGAAGTCATGAGCTCTCTAGGCCTCAGTTTCCTAATCTATACTATAAGGCTCCTGTTTCAATTAGATAAGGAATTGTGCCTAAAATGCTTAGAAAAAAAAATGCTTGTCATTTGTCATCGTCATCAGAGAACCCCTTACCAGTTCTTACCTTAACAAATTAGATGTATACTTGTTTACTAATCAGATCTTCCACAAGAAGCTAATCTGGGACTTTGTTCTATTTGCTGCTTCTAGTCCTCCATGTCTAGAAAAGTGTATAATCCGTGCACTTTGGAATAAGTGAATGAAAAAAATATTCACTAAACATCAACTAAATCAGACACAGTTCCACCCTCTTAGGGTTCACAAAGTTTTTAGCAGAGGATGAACATGCAGGTCAGGATTATTTGTTTCTGTGGCAGAGCTGGCATATGGCGCTATAGACAAACGTACAAAGGAATCCTTGCCCAAATTTGGGGGGCTGAGTGGGGACTGAGGAAAGATTCCTAGAAGAAATGGTGTCTAAACTGCGATCTGGGAAGTAAACAGAGATTGTTGAATAGGAAGACAGTGATGGCCCAGAGGCACAGACAGTATGAGAGAGAGAGAGAGTCAGCAAACTAGACACACATTTCTCCTGGAGAAAAGGGTTTCTTCAGCAAAAATAGTCGGGTGATGAAAAGCCAGACAAGTCTTAAATGTTCCCTCTCTCAAGGCCCTAGAGAAGCTGAGATGTGTTTTAAGCAAGAGAGAACCAGAATTATGTTAGTGTTTTTGTTTTTATCTTTTTGTGCCAGTCCTGGGCACTGTCCCTAACCTAAGACTAGCACCCTACCACATGAGCCATAGCTCCACTTCCAGCTTTTTTTGGTGCTTAATTGGAGATGAGTCTCAGGGGTTTTTTTTTGGCCTGGGCTAGCTTCAAAAATCCATCCTCATATCTCAGCCTCCTGAGTAGCTGGGATTACAGGCATGAGTCTCTGGTGCCTGGCTTTATGTCGTGTTTTTTAAAAGCCCATGGGCCACCATGATAAAGAGATTGATCAGGAGGACACACTGGGGGACATTTCAGAGGATTTCTAATACCAGCTGTGATGGTGCCCCACAGAAACCTGCAAGGAGACGCTTCGGCTGCCCAGCTTGCCTGAACTCCAGAGCCCAAGGCGCCTTTTTCTCGCCGTTCTGTCCCATCAGCTCACTCCTTCCTACACTTTTCAGACAGCAAATGCAGATACGAACGTGCTTTCAAAGCAACTCAATACATCGAAAATGAGCACCATTTTAGCTATTGCATAATGTTCCGTTGTTGTTTAATGAAGCTAGAGATATGTTCCTTTGCTCTTACAAGTGATGTTCAGAGAACATGCAGATACATACACAAGAATTTCTGTACAAATAATAAGATTCCTGAATGAAAGGCAAGTTAAAAGTGGATGAGTCCTCCAATCACCCTCCTGCAAGGTTTACCGCAAACCAAACTCCTCAGATAATACATGAAAGTGTCTGCATGTGATCTCTCTTTCTTACCATTATGTAGGGAAAAAAAAGTGATTCTCATTTGATTACACATCTTGTAATCAGGCCTTTAGTGTCATGTATCAGTTATACTCTTTTGCTTCTATTCATATATTTTAGACACTTTTATTTTGTCGGTCATGGGGCTTGAACTCTGGGCCTGGGCGCTGTCCCTCAGCTCTTCAGCTCAAGGCTAACGCTCTACCAGTTGTGCCACAGCGCCACTTCCGGCTTTTTTCTTTTTGCTTATGTGGTGCTGAAGAATCAAACCCAGGGCCTCATGCATGCAACGCAAGCGCTCTACCACTGAGCCATCTTCCCAGCCCCATTTTAGACACTTTTATACAGAGTTATCTATATACATACTTTTTTTTTTTTTTTGCCCATCCTAAGGCTTGAACTCAGGGCCTAGTCACTGTCCCTGAGCTTTTGTATTCAAGGCTAGGATTCTACCACTTGGGCTACAGCTCTACTTTTACATTTGGTGGTTAATTGGAGATAAGTCTCATGGACTTTCTTGCATGAAAGATCTTTTTCCATCCCTTCACTTGGAACTTGGGTTTATCTTTGACTGAGACAAGTTTCTTTGACACAACAAATGATTGGATTTTGTGTTTTGATCCAATCTGCTGTTCTACATCTTTTGGTTGGGGAGTTGAGCCGTTGATGTTTAATGTTATGATGGAGAAATATGTTTCCTGCCATTTGTTTGTTTTCCTGTAGTGTGCTTCTTTCCTCTTGTCGTGTTTACTAGTCTTTTAGTGATTTTTATTCAATGCTGTCTTTTCTTGACTTCAGTTGTTTTGTAGTTCTGACTCATGAATTCCATTACTTTTTGTTTGTCATGAAAGCTTTTCATTTCATCATCAATTGTGAATATTAGCTTCACTAGTGGACTCTATCTTCCTGTTATTCTGAGGTCACAGAACTATCAGGATCGAATGCTGGCAAGGCCTCTACTCCTGGTTTATAGACAGCCACGTGGCCCAGAGGTCCCAGGGGGAAGGGAGAAGGCTTTGCTCCTCTCCTAACAAGGACACCATCAGATTTGCACCCCACCCTAGGTCCTATAATCTCAGGCTCTACAGGCCTTTTCTCACAGTGGGGTCAGGGCTTCCCACAGAAATTAGGCAGGGGAGGGGGGAGAACAAGCCCACCTCAACAATACTATTGTAGCCATGTCATGCTCAAAAACTCTTCCTATGTAATTGAAAGAGATCCAGTGACCAGAAGAGAAATGTGTTTGGGAAAGTAGAAGAGTTCTCCAGTGCAGGTAGAGTTCAGAGTTCACACTAAAAGCATATAGTGATTGTGAAAGAAATGATTTGGATTAAAAGTATGCTCTGGGTACCAGTGACGCATGCCTGTCATCCTAGCTACTCAGGGGGCTGAGAGCTGAGGACTGAGATTCAGTGCCAGACCAGGCAGAAAAGTCTATGAGACTATTATCTCCAGTTACCCAGCAAAGAACTGGAAGTGGGGTTGTGGCTCATGTGGTAGAGTGCCAGCCTTAAGAGGAATAACCAAGCAAGAGTGTAAGGCCCTGAGTTCAAGCCCCAATATTGACACAAAAAAGAAAATATGCTTCAGTAAAACAACACGATTCCTGGTTACTTAAAAATAATACTTTTCTCTTTTTTCCCAGATTATTTTGGAAATATTATAGTACAAATGGAAAACAATATAATGTTTTATTTCAAGATTAATATTAGAGATGCAATAAAAATGCATGTGTGGACAAGCGAGAGGGTGAAGTCCGCGTTCTGCCTCAGTGCCTCCTCCCTGGTGTATCTGGTGAACATCTTCGACAATGGCACAGTAAAACCGCAGGAATACCCCTTAAATCTGGAAGTCCAGAGTGTGACTTTGAGAACAGACGACAAATGCCCATACATGGCATTTCATAATAATATTTTTCAGCTTTTTTATTTTTTGGACAAAGGAGAAAGCCTCACCGTTTGGGCTCAGATAGTTTATCCAGAAAATGTTGGTGTATATATTGTTGTGGAATCATATGGCCCCAAAATATTAACAATGCAAAAAGTAACTAAGTATGAAATCGCCCTGGGATACTGCACGAAGACTACAGTAAGTTCATATTTTAAACTCCATTTGATTTTTAATAAATATAAAAAGTATAATATTAGTATTTTTGTTTCTTGGGGGTTGTTTTTTTATTCGTGTGTGTGTGTGTGTGTGTGCGTGCGCGCGCGTGCGTGCACATGAGAATGTGTGCCCCTGTGCTAGTCCTGAGGCTTGAACTCATGGCCTGGATGCTATCCTGGAGCTTCTTTTGCTCAAGGCGAACACTCTACCACTGAGTCACAGCTCCACTCCCAGCTTTACTGGTTGTTTAGTGGAGCTAAGATTCTTACACACTTTCCTGCCTGGGCTGGCTTTGAACCGTGATCCTCAGGTCTCAGCCTCCTGAGTAGCTAGGATTACAGGTGTGAGCACCTGCATGTAGAATGCTATGACGCTCCATGCAGCCTCACCCTCACTTTCCTGCTTTACATACATTTAATTTTCTTTTTCAGACAATCACATTTTCTCAGGATGCAAATTATGAGTCAGTACAGGATTACTTCAGTGTGCAGTAAGTGTGGCTTTTAACTTTGCAACCCTGGTTATTGATTTGTAGGTATTCTTTTATTAAAGTGGCTTCATGTATACTTCCAAATAGCCTTACCCCCCCCCTCCCCCCCGCTTCTCCCTCTGCCCTCTAACGGCCTGAGTCCCTTCATGTGGCTTTGGCTGGGGATATTTGCTGAGAATTACGTTGCAGAAGAATACACATTAAATTGCCCACATGTTTTTGTTTCCTCCTAGCTTTTTTTTCCTCAAAAGGGTACAATGTGTGAATCAGGCTTTTGAATTTTTTTCTCCTGTTATTTTGAGCCTTCACATTTTGTCTGAACACAAAATGATTCATGCACATTTGACAGGAAAGATAGGCGTCGATGGCTCACACCTGTCATCCTAGCTACTCAGGAGGCTGAGATCTGAGTTCAAAGCCAGCCCATGCAGGAAGGTCCATGAGACTCATCTCTTAATTAAGCACGCGCGCGCGCGCGCACACACACACACACACACACACACAGCCAAGTTAGAGCCGTGGCTCAAGTGGTAGAGTGCTAGCCTTGTAAAGAGCTCAGAGAGCACCTAGGTTCAGAGTTCAAGCCCCAGGATTGGCGCGCGCGCGTGTACACATCCTGTCTGACCTCCTTTTGGACCGCAGGCGGCTGACATCACGCATGCGCCTGTGGTTAGGAGACCGAGGGGAGCGGGCTGAGCACGCAGCGGCTCCCAGCGCGCTCCCGCCTCCGTCCAGGAGGGGGCAGCGCGGGACGCCGCACGCTGAGGCCACGGCCCGGGAGGGGGCAGCGAGGCGGGGCCGGCGGCCCCTCGGGCTCTCGGTGACCTGTGCGTTGCTTTTCCTAGAGAGAAGAACTCGGGACTGGTGCTCATCCAGCTCCGACCGAGTGAATACTCAAAGACATGCCCCATAGCCCAAAAGGTGAGTGTCCGGTGGGGGCTGTCGCGCCGCGGCCGGCCGGCACTGCGCTAACGTTGGCGTCTTGCTCCTGAGAGCCCGCCGCCTGCCCTGGGGTGTGCGCGAGCGCCCGGGCACGCGGCGCTCCCGTCTCGGCGTGCGCGTGCGCGGGGGAGGCTCGACCCCAGAGCCACCCGAGCCACGCCTCCGCTGCTGACTTTCCCGCGGACTTTCCTGCCTGGGCTGGCTTCCCACAGGCGGAGGCCTCAC